ATTAATGAACTGCAAAGCACTTTTTAATGTCTTTAGAAGGAAAGTGCTGGCCGCAATTGCTCTAATAGGGAGATATAAGTCCCGTTCAGCCCAGGACATAGCCTGGACTCAAGGCTAGCAAGGCTGTGGGCAGGGTGTTGAAGACCATTTTGGTGAAACTTTCTGTGGGTCTGGAACCTTAATCAGCACTTAAATGTTAAGCAAACATGCTGGGCAGATAAGCAAATTCATGTGAAAACCTCTGGGCAAGCTGTCGTTGAAGGAAAGCAAGTGCAGAGAGCGAGCAGCGCTGGGTCCTTGGCATGGTGGGTGCTCTCCATGATACAGGCTGGCCCTCTCATGCTCAGGGAGTGCTGAGTGCTGCTGGCTCAATCCATCCCACAGCCCAGATATGCTTCAGGGCTTTTCAAAGGGATAAAGGTGTATTTTTAACTTCAGGCAGCTGCCTTTGTGTTGTGCTTTTTTCTTCTTGTAGCTCTGGAAGTGGCAGGTTGTTTTTAAGCCCTTCTGTTTCTCAGCTGTCTCGGTGGAGGTGCCTAGAGGTCTCAGACCAGATTCCTGAAAATTTCAGTGCTGGAAATTAGTAGCTGCTTTTGAAAATGTTGGCGAGGCTGTGCAGCTCCCTACAGATGTTAGCTGATGGCCATTTGAACATGGTTTGCCTCAGCCAAGACCTCGCCCCATTGAAGCCAATGGGAATTTTCCTTGAAAAAGGTCATAAAGAAATCATTTCCTTGGCATCGCGAAAGGTGTTTCATGGGCTTCACATCAGCGTTCATGAGAACTTCAGCTATCTGCTTTGATTCCTGCCACACTTGACCCACCCTGCACAAAGCTTTCTACCTTTTGATCCAAAATAGCAGAGGAGATGTTTTCCACATGCCCTAGGAAAATGGAAGAGCTATAAAACATAATTGTTTTGGAGTTTGGCACCACTCCATTCACAGATATATTTAGTGTGCATTGAAATTGGTCAGCAAAAGGGTGTTTGTCAAGATGACAAACAGATTAGGGTGTCTGAGACAATTGCATACCTGCCCATCCCATGCTGGTAGGGTTGGTGGGTGCCTTCATTGGTTCATGGATAGTCATAAGCAAGCATGCACAGCTCACTTCTCTTGAGCAGTGTTAAAAAGCATTATCTGGCTGTAAAAGATGTTGTTTGGCTCATGGCTTGCTCTGTGTTCTCCACTGTCTGTCCTGTCTCCCTTCCCTGATTGCCATCCCTTCAATCCCCAGGTCAGGAGAGGTCTTCCCAAGAACAGCACTGGGTTTGAGAGCAGGGAAAAACTGATGAAGCTGTGGTATCAGCCCCAGGTGGATTAGTCTAGCTTGGCAGCAAGGTGAAGGTTTGGCTCCCTGTGTCTGAGTTGGCCTTGGAGAGGAGAGCTTACAGTTGATAGCAGCTCGACCTTCCTGGCCTCTGCTCCAGGCTTGCTCCTGTGATGGTGCCCAGGGAGCCAAGACCAACCTCTCCTGTCCCTGGGTGTGTTCATGCACATGGACTCGCACACTCTGCTCCCCTCGGTGGTTTGCTTTGGGCTGCTATTTGTTAGCATTGGAAAGTGAGAAAAATGAGCAAAAATATTATCAGAAGCAGGTTTTGTGAATGAATCAGCCGACAAGAGGCTTACCAGCTCGCCTTCATTTACTAGTGCAGTGCTTATTTGGGCAGATGTCTATATATTTTCGTTGGAGGTAGGAAGGAGGGAGAATCGATGGGGGAAGGCACTGCTTCCACTTTGCTGCTTTTCTCTCCGTTTGTACCATCACTTTTCTGAATGAAGCAGGGGACTGCAATGTATCTGAGATGCTCCCGTGCTGTTGCTGTTGTTATTTTACTGTTGACAGCTTGGTGAGACACTAAGGAGAGGACCACAAAAGACCTTGGAAGGCTAAAACCCTCCTAAGCAGCTCGTTGAGGATCAGAGCCTGGCCAGCCTTGCCCGTCTCTTGTACAGTGCTTTTTCATTTGATCCTGTCTGAAGGGCGGCCTCATGGCCTTCGCTCTTCTCACTATGTGTTTCTAATTAGCAGGGAGACTGGTGTATAAACAGAAGATTCCTGCTCAAAATATTCCTTGTCCGGCTTCTAGGATGACGGCCAGATGGCAATTGCCGGGCAGCAGCCCAGACTTTGAGCTTGCCCATCTGGCTATCAAACTTGGTCCCAATTCTCATCTGGAACTAGAATTGAGGAAAAGTCATGGACTTTGCCAGGTTGGTTTTTGCCCCATGTTTGCTTTTCAGCCGCTACCTAAGCAGCTAAAAACTTGCAGACCAAACACATTTAGTATTCCTGGGAAGTGGGACAATCCCAGTATTGGGAGATCTGAGGCTGAATGGTGAGGAAGTTCAGAAGGATATTGGACAAATCCATTGAGGGATGGATCTGTCAGTGGCTTTTAGATCCTGTGGGTCAGATGCATTCCATAACCATGAAGGTGCTTTTACTGTTGGTCTGCAGCACAGACTGGGGATGGTCCTTCTCAGGTGTGTCCCCAAGCAGCTGCCGCTGGTCTCTTGTGGGTGACATGCTAGACTGGAGTGGCCCTTTGGTCCAGTCCCCTTAGGCCATTCTCTTGCCATCAGTTTACAGGCAGCTGCACATTTGGTGAGTAAGTTCAGATGAAACTCTTCTTGAAGTTTCTGCTGTGTGAGCCTGGGGTTGTAACGCTTGGAAAGCTGTGGCAGAAATAGAACACTTGCTATTGTGATTTTTCACTCTCTCTCATGACAGTAGAGCTATGCCCTGAGGAAACACCACGATGCAGCTTTTGAAAAAAAAAAGAAAGAAATGTTAAAAGCTGTAAATGCTCTGTGTGCTTGGTCTTCCAAGAAGCACGAGAGATCTATAAATTAAGCATTGTTATATGAGCTAAAGCACTGCTTTCTCTCCACCTGCAGTTTGATGTGATTTCTTTACCTACATAGAAGTGCCAGTTCTGGAGTGCTGGAAAACTGAAATTGGAGGTGCCAGAGAGAATGCTAGTGTTGGGAGACTGGGTTCTAGAGTTCTTTCTTGGCATGTGCTGAAAGACACTTCATGTCTGTCACCGCTGTAGGACCTGAATGACCTGGTCTGTCAGTGTAGTTGGACCTCTGGAGCTGCTGAAGTGCTCCTATATACAGAGACATGTACAGAGATGTACTTAGCCTGGGTTATTGCAGTGAGAGGTGGTGTGCATGCATAGGGCTGGAAAGGACCTCTGGAGATCTTGGTCCAAGCCCCTGCTTAAAGCAAGGCCAGCTTCAATGTTAGATCCAGCTACAGTGTTAGACGTGCTTGCTCAGACCAGGCACCAAGGAGGGGTCAGCTGTCACCCTCTGGAGTGTGTAGGAGGAACTGAGATCTGTCCTCGTTACCACTGCAATGTCCAAAGGGTCTGGTGTCTGCAGTATCGTGACCATCATGTCCTACTTCAGCAAGGATTGCTCTCAAGAGTGGCACCCACTGAAATGGGAAAGTGCACAAAGCAGAGAGTGGAGGAGATGGAAAAGTCTGGTCTTTATCCCCAGACTTCTGCTAACTGATTTTGAAATTACTGAATTTCCTGAGGCTCCTGTGGCTTACGGCAGTGGCAGAGCTTGACCCAGGACATGTGGGGCTGCTCCATGGTCAGCAGAAGTGGCCAAAAGCAGAAGCAGGTAACAGCTAAATGAGTAATGCACTGTATGACAAACAATATGAAAGATGATACAGCAAAGGCAATCACTGAAATGACAGAATCTCTGAGGGAAATTAGGGTGGCTGTGAAACAGAGGCAAGGTATTTTTGAAAGCAGGCCTGAGAATTTATTTTAGCACATTAATACTGAGTAAGTATTCCTGGAGATACTCTGGGGGATGATAGATGGACACAAGGTATTGTTACTAATCACTGTGGTTTTAAGTTTTGGAACCAAAGTACACTTGGCATCCCTAACCCAACTGGACTTCTGATGGGAAAATTACATTCTTCGGGAAGTAATTTAGAAGGTCAAAGCAAAACCAGAAAGAACTTCTCCAGCAGCAATTTCCCCTGCTCCCTAAACTGTCTTTTAGTGTGGTAATAACTCCAGAATGAAAGAATCTATTCTCACCTTTCAGATGAAAGGGCTAATGCAATTTGAAATTTTTGCATGCAAAGATTTTATGGCTTGGTCACTGGCCATGCTTGAAAGCACTCCAGGATGGGATGAACACGTGAAGGATTGAGCTTGACCCTTTCCTTGACTGCCCCGTCTCCTGCAGATAATGGTGATGACCGGTCTGAGAGTATCCTTGCTGAAAACCACGTGGATGGCACCCCAGGGATCCTGAGCGGAGCCGGCGGGAGGAAGCCCATGAAGACGGGCATGAAGGAGCTGGCGGTTATGAGGGAGAAGGTGAACGAGCAGCAGCGGCAGATGGGCAAAGTCGGCAAGCCCCATCACAACCATGAGGACTCGAAGAAGTCGCGGCTGTCGTCGGGCAGGGTGAGAGGGCAGGGGGCTGTGGGGAGCTAGTGGAGGTAGCTGCAGACTCACCAGGGAAATGCTGAATGCAAAAGCCTTAGTGACACTTGCAGCAAACGGTCTTAAGGAGGGAAAAAAAAAAAGATTAGGAGAAAGGGGAGAGAGGAGAAAAAAGGAAAAGCAAATGTTTGTTTTGGCCTGAAGCTGGGACCGAACACACCATCTGATGAACTTTGATGTGCTGCTGGGGAGGTGTTATTTTCATTGCAGCTTCACCTCCTGACAGCAGAGCCTAGAAAGCGGGGGAGTCCTGCTGGCTCGACACCTACTTCCACAGGGGTGCAAGTGTGCCCTTTGCCTGCAGACCAGCTTTCTCACACCCTTTTTCCTGAAGCAAGTGCCAGGGTTGACCCAAGGGGATTTGGGGCAAGGGGCTGTGGGCTGTCTGCCTGGACTGGCAGCCCCAGTCCAGGTTGAAGGGGAGGGCCAGAGCCCCAAAGGATGGACTCTGCAGCTGTCACGTATCAGGGAGGGTGTCCTGAGTCCTCCCTGTCCCCTGTCTTTCTGCCCTCCAATCCTTGGCCGTGGTTTCCCTCTAGTGGGCACCTTGGTCAAGGCAACTAGACGGGATGGGGATGGAAAGCCAACCCAAAAGGTCCATAATACGTACCTCTATAAACACATAGGGTATTTATATCTGAGGAGTGCGGGGACAGAGTCTTTAAAACAGAGCCCTCATCCCCTCCAAGGAATCGGCAAAGCAGAGGTTCAAAATAAGGTGCAGGCACCATCAACTTGGAGAGCTTCCACACTGCTGCTGCTTCTTTGGGAAAAAAAACCCAGTAACTGCAAAGGCAGAGAGGTCTGGACTCTGGCTCCCATCAGGTGTAATTCAACCAGACTGTCTTGGATGGGAGCCCTGGCTTGGAGGTGCTGTGGAGCAAGAGGCAAGCTGGCTTTTCTGGGTGTTCTCATTCTCGGGGCTTCGCTTCCACTCCCATGGGCTCTTATACAGTTTGAATTGCACTTCTGGGCCAAAACTACATCACAGGTGTGGGATCTGGGCTCTGCTCATGGAAGCCCTCTCGGTCTGTTCAGATTAGTCCTCCTTTACATCACTTGTCACCAGTGGGACCCATGGGAGCATCTCTGATGATTCTGATCTGTGTCTCCAGGGCCAGTGACCTGGTGTCATGTTTTTGGGCCAAGTGAGGCATGCGAGAGAGATGTGTATGTCTCCCTGTGTGGATCTCTACCCATTGGCATGTGCAGATGTGCAGCACTCTGATTTTTGGGTGTCTGCAGGTAAAGTCTGCTGCGGGACCCATTGGCAGACCTGTGTCATGGGGAGGTGCACACAGGTGTTCATCCCTACTGGTGTTTCTGTTCTCCAAAGTGTTGACATTGAATGGTCCCATTGCACTTATCATTCTGGTTTTGTTTTCTGGGCTTCTTTTCAGACCCCTTGTCAGCAGGAGCTGGATCAGGTCCTGGAACGCATCTCCACTATGCGGTTGCCAGATGAGCGAGGTCCCCTGGAGCATCTCTACTCCCTCCACATCCCCAACTGTGACAAGCATGGCTTGTACAATCTCAAACAGGTAAGCTGGGAGAACTAGAGCCCCAGGGCTGGCTGTGCTCCCAGCAGCAGCCCTTGGCTCAGCACGTTTCCCCACCATGTGCAGCCACAGATGACACGCAGAGCTCAGGGCTGGCCTGGTGTTGCACACATGGTGTGAGAAGTGGGGTAAAGAGCAAATATTGCATGTGGCATGGACAGGTGTAGGAACACCCAGATGCATCTGCAGCCATGGGCTAACAAGTTAGAGATGTGAGACCCACATCCATGCATCTGCAGGCAGCCCAGAGTTGGAGAATCTGTTTAATTCAGAGCCCCCCCCACGAGCTGCTTATCTGTCCAGGTCTATTTTCATGTGCTTTGAGCCAGATCTTGTCCTAGCTGGGTCCTGCTACAGGGGAAAAGCAGAGAGGGGCTGAATGCTTGCTAGTCTTGCAGACAAAGCACTTCTCCTGGGGTCAGGAAGGTTTCTAGCACACTTCTCTGGTTTTCCTCCACAAATTGAGGCTGATCCTGCAGCTCCAGGAGGGATTCTTTCCAGGCAAGGTGAGGGTTGGGGTGTAGCGTGCTTCTGAAAGTATTTATAGGACCCGAAAGAACTCAAACAACTTAAGGTGTGTCTTGAGTTCTGACTTCTTGGCTTCATTTATGCAAAATCAGCAGGTGTCAGTGGCTGAGGTGTGGGGCAGAAAATGTCAGGAAAAACCTCTTAGGCAGCAAAACACCAGCTTGTCCAGGGTTGACTGGAAGCCATCTGGGAACAGTACGTGCATATGAGCATCCATTATAGCTATGTGTAATGGGTTTAACTATAGCTATATGTATAACCCCTTTGCAGGGGACCCCAGAAAATGCACTGTTTTCATGACTAAGCCTTTTTGGGGGCTATTTCTACCCCTTGATTGGGAGCATTAACAACAGGAAAAAAAAAAAAGCATTAAAAAAAGAAGGATGCTCTGAGATAATCTCCCTCTGCTCCTTCTCTCTTCCCTATCCTGCCTGGACCCTCACCCTCTGCCTCCCCCTGAAGAGCCCTTTGGGCTGGCTGGATCCTCCAGCACACATGGAAGGGGTGGGTGGAGCAGGGCTGGCGAATTCCCATAACGAGGTGAGCTGTGTCTGGGGAATGAGCCTGGGCAATGCCACAGAGAAAGAGAGGGGACAAAAATTGCTTTTTTTTTTTCTCACTTCTACCCTGCCCTGGTTAAAGGCAAAAAAGGCAAATGTGAAGTGATAACCATTTCCCT